TAACAAAAAGAAAACAGGATGCGAGCCTGGGGGAAACCATTTAATTGAACAGTGCAGTGGTTACTGGGACGGGGGAATCAACAATACGTATTCTTTACACATGCGAATTCAACGCTAACAACAACAGCAACAACAACAATACTAACATCAACATCAACACCAGCAGCGACAACACCAGCGATAACAACAACAACAACAACAGCAGCAGCAGCAACAGCAGCAGCAGCGGCAACATCAACATCACAAACAACAGCAACAACAGCGACAACAACAGCAACATCAACAACACTGTTCAGTTTAAGAATGTTCGCTCTCATCTGCTCGCGGGCAATGCAACACGTATATTCCCAAACCCTCGATACCCGCCCTTTTCGTCTTCGATCATCCCCGCGACAAGGGAGAGGGAGGAGGATGGAGCACGAGAGAAGGTAGCTAAAAAGGGGCTAGGAGCTGAAAACATGTGGCAAAACCAGGCAAGCTGATCGGGCGGGTAGACCCTAACGGGCGGGTCGGGAAGGCGGAGCCAGGCGGCCAGGTCGAACAGGCTGGCGTCTGAAGCGTGCGTCCTGCATGAATCACGAAGAAATCTCGAGCGTCAGCGGGAATGCAGAATCAATCGGGAAGGAATCAACGGCGAGAGCGTGATTCCTGAGTGTTGAAGGCGCGGCGTTCGATTGAAATGAAGATTCAACAACGCTCCCGCTCGATACTTCCTTCTTTTCCACTTGGGACCGGGGCTCTTGCTCGCCGTCGAAAACCGGCTTTCCAACAAAACCAGCGCTCCCGCTCAATACTTATTTTCTCCTTTTAATCGGGATTGGCGATTCCGCCTCGGCGCCGCAGACGGCCCCCCTCTGCAAACAACGACGCTCCAGCTCGATACTTCCTCCTCTTTCATTCGAAAACCCCAGACATCCCTGGGGGCTTCCGCGTGCCAGGGGCGGCCCGAAGCCGGCGGCGGCAACCCCGTCGTCGTCGTCGTCGTCCTCCTCCTCCTCCTCCTCCTTCTCCTCCAACTCCTTGCCCCCCGTTGGTGTTCCCTCCTCCTTCTTCCTCCTCCTCCTGCTCCCCCCCTCTTCTTTCACCCCCGAGACGATCCTCCGATCCCAGCCATTTCCCCAAAAAGCCTTGGGGTCTCCTCCAAGATGGCCCGAAATCCCCCCTAATACAAATCTAAAGCGTCTCCCAGGGGCGCTCATGTTTTCAACAAGGGTTCTGAAGCTTCTCTGAAAAGGTTCTGGGGGCTCTCCAACGGGCTCAAGAGGCTGTCCAAGGGGTTCCGGGGGCTCTCCCGCAGGTCGTGGAGCCTCTCCCAAGAGGTTATGGGCCACATGGGCGTGGTGATACCTAGAAGCAAGACAAGGGCAAGGCGATTGCGAAGGCGATGCGCCATCTGGGCTGGACAAATTGAAATGCCTCGGAAGCGGGCGGGAGGTCTGGGAAAGGGAGTGCCAACCCCCCCTGTGAAAGAAAAGATCCCCCAGGAGGGGGGATCGTGATTGATGTAACGCATATAAAAGAGTCTTGCTTTCGGGTACAATAATAGTTGTTGCTGCTGCTGCTCTTGTTGTATCATATGTGTACAGTTATAGGTATAGATATGTGTGTATAGTTTGTTTCTTTTCTTTGTTGGGACAATGTGTCGGGCCAGCCTGGCTTCCTTGCTCGGGAACTCGCACGATCTATAGGTCATCTTCTTTCTCCCCAATGGGCGTTCTTTGAGATCCTGTTGGGGCGAGTCGTACACGTTGTATTATTCTGGGTTTCGACATTTGGCCGAAGGGTGGGTGAGGGGATGGGGCTGGGCCTGGGCGGCTGCATCTTGTGCCAGTCGCGCAGGCTGGGGGACAGGGCTCCTGACCAATCGCCAAAAGCAGGCGCCAAAAACGCCCAGAGGGGGGAGAGCGCCAGGAGGCCCGCGCCGATCGGCGAAACAATGCACAACAAAAACGCTACGTGTCGGACCAGCCTGGCTTCCTTGAAAGATAAACACAAACTCTTGGCGCTCCGCGCGGATTTCTTGGATCCGCGCTGGGCCCCCCCGGCAGCGCCTCCGGCGCCACCCCTGGCGCGCTCCGCGCGACAGGGAGAGGGGCCCGGCGCGGATCCAAGAAATCCCCGCGGAGCGCCAAAAGTTTACGTTTATGGCGTTTTTCTTCTCCGATTGTTAAGGAGGTCGTCGGGTCAATGAGTACTCTTCGGTCTCCCCAGTCCTCGGGCAACGCCTCGGTTGGTCGAACACACTGGGGCTCCGTTCTCTGGTTTGCTCAATGCACCGGGGCCTGGTGCTCGGGTCGCCGACTATGATTTCACGGCCGTGTGCGGACTTGCCGCGGGACTCAATGCTGCCCTGCCTGCCCGTGCGCCGTGCTGGCGCCCAGCTTCTCTGCTGCTGCTGTCGGACATCCCCGGCCCTGGCCTCATCGCGCCGTGAAATGACAGCGACAGAGTGATCTTGGCAGCCGTCGGCCTCCAGGAGGCACGACGAGGGCGTTTTTGTTTCGGGGGACGAATGTCGGACGACAACCGCCCTGGCACCCTCGCGTCGTGAAGCAACAGCGGCGGGAGGATCTTGGCAAGTGTCGGCCTCCAGGAGCCCTTACCAGGCCCCTGGGGACCGTCAAGGAGCGGTTCAGGAGGAAATGGTGGTTCCGGCAAAGGGGTCCAGACCTCCTGGGGGGTCACGTTGTCTGGGGAGGACGAGGACGGCGAGGACAAGGAAGAAGCCGACAATCGATGATTTAGGAGGCAACGTCTGGGAATCTCCGTGGGAACAATTACTGAAAATATAGCCCGATTGCAAGGAGCCGCTGAGGCGGAGGAGACCCGGATTAAAACGGGATTCACCAGGTTCGACGGGACTTCGCCGGATTAGGGCAGTTTTCGACAACGGATGGTCCTTCCTTGATTTGGGCGTTTGGGTGCCTTTTCCAAGATCATCGGCCGTCAGAATGCGGTCGGGGTGAGGACTGACCGGGAGGGGTCATGGTACCCTTGTTGGACAGATTTTGGTAGGTCGGTGACGGACGAAGACGACGACGACAACAACAACGACGACGACGACGACAACGACGAACCGACGACGTCGCCGAAGTTCGGCGGCGAGTCTGGGGAAGGAAATGAGAAGGGGCGGGCCTTCTCGGAAGGCTCGGAAGTCCCCGGGCCTTCTTAAAAGCTCTCTAAGCCTGCCCCGAAGACACAGAACAACTCTCAGAAGGCCTCGCCGCCTCCTGTTGGGGGCGCGCAAACATGGATTAGCGATCCGTGGATTTGGCGCGTGGTCGCCAAATCCCTGAATCGGGGGAGGTGCCCTCTCCAAAATGCGGCCCGTGTCGCGTCGCTTGGCCGCGGAAATCCGCGATTTCCAATGGAAACTAGACCCGCCGCTAATCCACGCCCACTTGATCCGTGTTTGCGATCGCCTGGTCCTGAGCAGGCCTTCTCAGTCTCCCTAACCCCCCCGAGCTCGCCGTGGAGAATTGACGACGAGGGCGACCGCGTCTGCGTCTCCGAGGTGCTCGGGCGCCCCTGCGGGGCCTCGACGACACGGCTGAACACGCGGCTCGGGAAGCTGGCCACGAGGGGCCCCCGGATGGATCTGAGGCTCCTCCTCCTCCTCCTCCCCCTCCTCCTCCTCCTCTTCATCCTCCGCCTCCTCCTCCTCCTCCTCCTCCGCCTCCGCCTCCGCCTCCTCCTCCTTCGAGCGGGCTCTGGCCACACGATGACGAGGACGACGGCGACGCTTCCCCCGCTCCGCCGCGGCTCCGCCGCGGCTCCCCCCGCCGGAGCGCGACGGGGGGGGGGGAGGGCGCGCGAAGGGGGGAGGGGAGCAGGGGGCCAGGGAGCACTCGCGAACGAGCCAGGGACGGGTCGGAAGGTGCGCGGTCGGGGGAGGGGGGGAGACCTGCGGTCTGACTTGATGGGGGGAGGACACTCGCGGAGCGCAAGGGGGGAGCGCGTGCGAAGGGGGGAGGGGAGCAGGGGGCCAGAGAGGAGCACTCCCCATCGAAGCGGGACGGGTCGGAAGGTAGGCGGAGGGGGAGGGGGAGACCTGCGGTCGGACTCGATCGGAGAGGACACGCGAGAGGACACAAGACCCTTCCAAGGGCCACGCTGCCACAGGAATGCAGGAGGCGTGGATCGCGAGACGCAGGATACAAGGGTACCCTCGATTTGGCAGGGTCGACCTGCTAACTCCGAAGGGTCTTTCATCACCCCCCGGCAATACTGGTAAACTATGAAATTTCTCCGTGGGCGTATTGACGGATTGGGACCCCAACAATAATTTGGAAACAATGATTCCACCGCGGCGGCCCGCGGTGGCCCCACATGCTTCTGCTGCGGACGACGAAGACAGGTTTCTGAGGAGGCGGAGGCGGAGGAGGCGGAGGAGGCGGAGGAGGCGGAGGAGGCGGAGGAGGCGGAGGAGGCGGAGGAGGGAGGGGAAGGAGGAGGGAGGGGAAGGAGGAGGACGGACGCGCTTCTATTCCCCGCCGAGAGCCTGACGGCGGGGAGGGGTCCTCAACATCAAGGACCCTTCGCGGTGAATCCAGGCCGACGGTAGATCGCCCGACTTCGCGGGCCGCGCCCTCCACGAGAGGGCGACCGAGTCGTCTTCGCGCCCCGGCGCCGCCGCCCGAGACGAGGGCACCTCTGTGGCCCCCTGGCCCCTCCCCTGCTCCTCCTGCTTTCCCTCTGCTGCTCTTGCCTCTGCCTTCCCTCTCCGAATCTCCCCCCCCACCTCTCCCCCACCTCTCCCCCTCCTCCCTGTGGGCTTGGCGGCTTTTCGCCAATCGACTTGTGGGGACCAGGCTTCAAACATGGAGGTCGATTCAGACAAATCGAAGCAAATCCAAGGACATCCCAGGTAATTCTCGGTAAATCCAGAGATCTCCAGGGAAATTTCGAGCAACTCGTGGCCGCTCCAGCGCGAGTCGAGGGACGGCAGAAATCGCTCAGCACTTAACAACCTCCTCCCTCTTCTCCCCCCAGCCCGGCACCAGCACGTGGTGGGCGTCCGTCAGCCTCATGAAGAAGGCCACCGGCATCTGCAACAGCGCCCTGCGCCCAGCCTCGCTGGAATCGTCCGGGTCGTCGGCGTCCCTGAAACCGCACGCGCGCAGGAAGTCCACGGCAGCCTCGTGTCGACCGACCTTGCGGTGGAATACCTCGGCCCCCTTCCTGACCTGGCGCTTCTTGGCGTCTTCGGGGAACTCCAGCACGTTGTCCACGAGCTTGAACAGTGTGGCGAACGCATCTTCTCGCCCGTCCTCCCGCTGGGGGGGCAACGCGGTGCCGTATCCGATACTCCCTGGACCTTCCCCATGGAACGTTCTTGCAAACCCCGGGCCTCTCTCAACACGTATATCCCAAACCCTCGATACCCGCCCTCTTCGTCTTCGATCGCACCCCCTTGGGGGTAAATATCTGTCTTACCTGCAAGGTGTACCCCGTGCAGGCCCTGAAGGCAGCGGAAGAAGAGAGGACGGATGGAAGGAAGAAACAAGGGGGAGGGATGAGGACGGAGCACGAGAGAGAGAGAGAGAAAGAGGAGCAGGAGGGGGGCCAGGAGCAGAAAAGACGTGGCAGAACCAGACGGGCAGGATCGGGCGGGTAGTCCTTACCTGGCGGGTCGTGAAAAGGAAGTCCCAGGCGACCAGGTCGAGCAGGCGGGTTGCTGAAGCGTGCGTTATGCATGAGCCGCGCGGAAGTCTCAAACAATAGCGCGATTCCCAAAATCGTCGGGAAATCCGCAGCGAGAGCGGAAGCTCTGAGCGTCGAGGGCGCGGAGGAAGTCCCGCGCGAGAGCACGAGTTTGGAAACATATGTGGAGAAATATCAGGCGGGAGCCGTTGTTTTTGGTGGTGGTGGTGGTGGTGGTGTTGTTGTAGTTCGGGGCCCAACAATGCACTTTGGTGACCCTTCGCCTTCCCTGGTAAAAAATGCAAAACCCTGGATACACGACACTGACAACAACAACAACAACAAACCGGCGACGCCTCCTGGCGCAGGCATACACTCGAACTCGCTTACTCCGTGTATCCGATACACAGAGTAATCGAATTCGATTACTCGGTGTGCCCGAGGCAGGTTTTAATTTGATCCCGATTGGAACCTGTATATTAGATACACGGAGCAAGCGCACTGGATTACTCCGTGTACCCGATCAACGGAATAATCATACTCGATTATTCTGTGTATCCGACGCAATTTCGAATTGGATTCCTATTGGAACCTGTATATTGGATACACGGAATAATCGCACTCGGTAACTCCGTGTATCCGATACACGGAGTAATCGAGTTCGATTACTCCGTGTATCCGACACACGGAATGGTACTTTGGGAGCTCGCGGGCTCAGGTTGTCAGGAAAAATTGGCGACGCCAACAATGGTAAATTCATATTTTCATTGTGTTCAAAAAATTAGGCGTACCTGGCTCTGAAAAGGGGTGGGCCACTTTTTTGGGCGCCCGCGGGGTCCGATTACTCTGTGCATCCGAGGCAAACGATAAGTGTATTCCCATTGGAAGCTGTATGTTGGATACACTGACTAATCGACCGCGGTTACCCCGCGTACCCGAGGCAGATTCTACTTGGAACCCTGTCGAAACCTGTATATTTGATACACGGAGTAATCGAACCCGATTACTCCGAATGGAGCCTGTAGATTGAATGCACGGGGGAATCGCATTCGATTACCCAGTGTGCAGGGTACACGGAGTAATCGTATGCGATTACTCTGTGTACCCGAGGCAGATTCTATTTGGATTCCTGACAGAACCACGTGTATCGGGACACGAGTAATCGAACTCGATTACTCCGTGTATCCGAGACACATTCAAATTTGATGCCTATTGGAACCTGTATATTTGATATACGGAACAATTGCACTCGATTGCTCCGCGTATCGGATACACGGAGTAATCGCACTCGGTAGCTCCGTGTATCGGAGACACGGAGTAATCGAACCCGACTACTCCGTGTACTCGAAGCAGTGTCTAAGTGGATTCCAATTGGAACCTGTATACTGGACACGCGGAATAATCGCACACGGAGTAATCGTACTCGATCACTCCGCGTATCGGATACACGGAGTAGTCGAACTCGACTACCCCGTGTACCCGAGGCAGATTCTAATTGGATTCCTTGTGGAACCTGCATGTTGGATACACGGAAGAAACGCACTCGGTTACTCCGTGTAACCGATCAAAGGAGTAATCGAACTCGGATGCTCCGTGTATCCGACGCATTTTCTAATTGGATTCCTATTGGAACCTGTATAAAGTGGCGCCGCCAGAAAATGTGCAAAAGAGTTCAGATTGGAACCTGTATATAAGATACACGGTAAATCGAATTCGCATACACTGTGTATCCGAAGCAGGCTCCAATTGCATTCTCTTGGAACCTCTATATTGGATACACAGAGCAGTCGCGCTCGATTACTCTGTGTATCCGATGCACAGGGCGGCGCTTCTGGGCGCTCGCGGGCGCAGGTTAAGAAAACATTGGCGTCGCCAGCGATGGTGTTTTTATCGTTGGATTAAATGGGCGAGCCTGGCTCTGAAGGGGTGCGCCCCTTTTGGGCGCTCGGGGGATCCGATTACCCCGCGTACCGGATACACGGTGTAATCGTATTCGGTTACTCCGCGTATCGGATACACGGAGCGCTCGAACTCGATGACTCAGTGTATCCGAGGCAGATTCTAAAGGGATGCCTGGTGGAACCAGGCTAATAGGACACACGGAGAAATCGCGACCGATTACTGCATATCGGATACACGGAGTAACCGAACTCGATTGCACAGAGTATCGGATACACGGAGTAGTCGAAGTCGATTACGCAGCGCTTCCGAAGCAGATTCTGATTGGATGTCTATGAGAACCTGTCTATTGGATACACGGAATGCTCGCACTCGATTGCTCCGCGCATCGGATACACGGAATAATCGAATAATCGCACTCGGTTGCTCCGTGTATCGGATACACGCAGTAATCAAATTCGATTACCTTGTGTACCCAAGGCAGTTTCTACATGGGTTCCTCTTGGAATCTGCACGTTCGATGAACGGAGCACTCGGACTCGGTTACTCCGTGTATCGGATACACAGTAGAATCGAATTCGATTACTCCGCGTATCCGATGCACGGAGCGGTGCGTTTGGGCGCTCGCGGGCTTCGGCTTTCAGAACAAATTGGCGTCGCCAACAATGGTCATTGTACCATTGAATTTTGTTTAAGAAATTGGGCGAACCTGGCTATGAAGGGATGGGCCACTTTTGGGCGCTCGCGGGATCCGACTACTCCGCGTGCCGGATACGCGGAGTAATTGCACTCGATTGCTCCGCGTATCGGATACACGGAGCAATCGAACTCGATGACCCAGTGTACCCGAGGCAGAGTCTAAAGGTATTCCTGGCGGAACCTGTATATTGGATCCACGGTGTAATCGCATTCGATTGCCCGTGTATCCCATACACGGAGTCATCGAACTCGATTACTCCGTGTATCCGCGGCAGATTCTAATTGCATTCCAACTGGAGCCTGTATATTGGATACACGGAGAAGTCGCACTCGACTACCCCGTGTATCGGATACACGGAGTAGTCGAACTCGATTACTCCGCGTATCCGAGGCAGATTTGAATGTGAATCCCATTGGAACAGTTATAGTGGATGGGTACACGGCGTAATCGCACTCGATTGCTCAATGAATCGGCTACACGGAATGATCGAACTGGATTACTCCGTGTATCCGAGGCAGATTCGAGTAGGATTCCTATTGGAACTTGTATGTCGGATACACGGAATAATCGGAGTAAGCGAACTCGGTTACTCCGTGTATCGGGTACGCGGAGAAACGGAACTCGATTACTCCGTGTACCCGAAGCAGATTCTAAAGGGCTCCTGTTGGGACCTGTATACTGGATACACGGAGTAACCGCACTCGATTGCCCCGTGTACCGGGTACACGGAATAACCGAACTCGATTGCTCGTGTACCTGGGGCAGAGTTTAATTGGATTCCGATTGAAGCCTGTATACTGGACACACGATGTAATCGCAGACGATTGCTCAATGAATCGGCTACACGGAATGATCGAACTGGATTACTCCGTGTATCCGAGGCAGATTCGAGTGGGATTCCTATTGGAACCTGTATGTCGGATACACGGAATAATCGCGCTCGATGGCTCCGTGTATCCGATACACGGAGTAAGCGAACTCGGTTACTCCGTGTATCGGGTACGCGGAGAAACGGAACTCGATTACTCCGTGTACCCGAGGCAGATTCTAAAGGGCTCCTGTTGGGACCTGTATACTGGATACACGGAGTAATCGCACTCGATTGCCCCGTGTATCGGGTACACGGAATAACCGAACTCGATTGCTCGTGTACCTGGGGCGGATTCTAATTGGATTCCGATTGAAGCCTGTATACTGGACACACGGAGTAATCGCACCCGATTGCTCCGTGCATCGGGCGCGCACAATAATCGAACTCGAACACGACGTAATCGAAGTCGATTACTCCGTGTATCCGATACAAGGAGTGGTATTTTTGGGCACTCGCGGGCCAAGGTTTTCACAACAAACAAAGTTGGCGCAGCCAAATATGGTCATTTTACAACTGGATCCTGTTTTTAAAAATGGGGCGAACCTGGCTCTGAAAGGGGTGGGCCACTTTTGGGCGCTCGCGGGATCCGAAAAATCCGTGTTCCGGATACACGGAGCAATCGCATCTGTACTCCGCGTATCGGATACACGGAATAACCGAGTGCGATTACCCCGTGCATCCAATATACCGGTTCCAATAGGAATTCAACCAACATCTGCCTCGGATGCACGAAATAATCGAGTTCGATTACTCCGAGTATCCAATGCACGGAGTAAGCGAACTCGATTACTCCGTGTATCCAATAAACAAATTCAAATTGGAATCCAAGTCGAATCTGCCTCGGATACACGGAGTCATCGAAATCGCTAACTCCGTGTATCCGATACACGGACCAATCAATCGAGTGCGATCACTCCGTGTACCCGAGGCAGATTATAATTGGACCCCTGCTGGCACCTGTATATTGGATACACGAAGTAATCGCACCCGCTTGCTCCGTGCATCGGATACACGGAATAATCGAACTCGATAGCTGCGTGTATCCGAGGCAGGTTCAAATTGGATCCCTGTTGGAGCCTGTGTCTGATACACGGAGTAATCGCACTCGATTACTCCGTGTATCGGATACACGGAGAAATCGAACTCGATTACTCCGTGCTTCCGAGGAAGATTCTACTTGGACTCCTATTGGAACCTGTATACAGAATACACGGAGTAATCGCACTCCATTACTCCGTGTATCGGACACACTGAGTAATCGCACTCGATTACTCCGTGTATCCGAAGCAGACTCTAAATGGATTCCTATCGGAACCTGTATATTGAATACACGGAGTAATCGTATTCGATTATTCCGTGTCGGATACACGGAACGATCGCACTCGATTGTTCCGTGTATCCGAGAAGTCCGCGTATCCGAGGCAGATTATAAGTGGACTCCTACTGGAACTGTATATTGGATACACGGGATAATCGCATTCGATTACTCCGTGTATCGGATAAACGGAATGGCCGAACTCGATCATTCCGTGTACCCGAGGCAGACAATTAAAATATTCCTATTGGAACCTGTATTTTGGATACACGGAATAATCGCATTCGGTTACTCCGTGTCGGATACACGGAATAATCAAACTCGATCACTCCGTGTATCCGAGAAGTCCGTGTATCCGAAGCCGACCCTAAATGGATCATCACTGGCACCTGAATATTGAATACACGGAGTAATATTACTCGGTTACTCCGTGTGTCCGAGGCAGATTATACTTGGATTCCTAGTGGCACCTGTATACAAGATGCACGGAATAATCGCACTCAACTACTCCGTGTATCGGATACACGGAATAAGCCAACTCGTTTACTCCGTGTATCGGAGGCAGATTCGAATTGGATTCCTGTTGGGACTTGTATACTGGATACTCGGAGTGATCGCACTCGATGACTCCGTGTATCGGATAGTTACACGGGATACTCGCCCACTTCGTCTTCGATTGCGCCCCCCTTTCGGCCACTGACTTAAGTGCGAAGCAATCTCGAGCGAGAGAGCCGTTCCTGAATTCGGGGAACTCTCTGGCCAAAGGCTCTCGGAATACCCATGGAGAAATATCGAACGGGAGCCCTTGTCGTCGTGTCCAGGCCTCCACCAACTTGCCTGAATTACGGGAGTCTCGAGCGAACGCGTCGTTCCTGAGTTCGGGGGCCTTCTTGTCCTGGGGCTCTCGCAGTAAATCGTGAGGACTGCTCGAGCCGTTGTCGTCGTTGCTGGGCCTCCGCCAACTTAATTGAGTTGCGAGGAAGTCTCGAGCGAGAGCGGCGTTCCCGAGTTCGGGGGCCTCTCTGGCCAGGGCGCCTCGGGGTAAGTTTGACGATGTATTGAGCAAGAGCAGTTGTTGTCGTAGCTAGGCCTCCAAAGGCCCACAGTGAAGGTCAAGCCAACGCTCGAGCGGGAGCCTCGTTTTCTGAGAAAATGTAGCCGGCGTCGGGGCGAGAGCGCGCGGAACCGTTTCGGGACATCAGCATGAATTATATCATTTAGAAGTGAAAATCCAACTGCAACAACAACAGCAGCAGCAACAACAACAAGAACACTAACA